ACATTTTTCTTCAAAATCAGGTGAGGCCTATTACCACATATTCTATCCTCCTCTGAAAAATGTAATTTGTTCAGTTCTGCATTTCACTGTACCAATCAGACCATCCGGTTTCTTACCATCTTCTTTCTGTTGTTCTCTACAAGACTAGGTTGCCTTTTTGTGTTTACTGCAATCTTTTGTCAAAACGACTCTTGCTTTAAGATCTTATGAGCTAGTGTTATTAGATGGTGGATTGTGATCTTCTCTAGCATACGTTCCCTTTGTTTCCATTGATGGTAAATCATTTTACCATGAATTCAAGTAGAACCCACTTTATGAAACTGGGTTTCCTACTCATACAAGGCAGATGATCAACCATTAATAGAAAATGGATGGAAGGAGATCTGGATCTGTAGATCGTTGTGCTTATTCTAGGAATTTCCGGCAACATTTTCTGTTGCCCATGTAAGCAAATACATTTTCACTTTGTTCAACATGGAAAGACTTGTACCTACTTAGGTTGTCACGTATGAACATGATTGTTCTTTCAGCCTTACCCCTACTTTTCTTCCCAAGCACTTTCAGTGGAGGATGACAACCACAGCAAAGATACAGTCTACCATTCAATGAGATTTTGCAGTTTTCGGTCACTGTTGGAATTTACTACTTAGACAGGGAATCATCTCCCAATGATGAGAATATTTAAGTAGCGTTTGACTACGATACCCAAATTTGTTTTTTTTTGGTATTGTTTTGGGTATTTATATCACCTTTTGGGTGAAATTTACCAACTTATTATGGTGCATATACTTTTAGGGTTTACTTACCACATTTTTGTGAAATTTATCACTTTTTAAGGTGAAACAAATCGCTATACTTCCTTTTTTATTTGTCAAACGTGTGTCTAGAAAGTTTTTCCTACTGTAAGGCCAAGCATGGAGTTTAGTCAAAAAGTGGTTCCTACAGATGCTTTGGCTGACTAGTTAATTATGGAAAAAGTGGTTCCCGAGTTGCTGTATACCTACCTACACGAAAAAGATTTGGTTTTAGTACAAATTATATTGAAACATGTTAATATTTAGAGTTATTAACAGCTGATCACTTATCCCCAATATTTATTAAGAGAATTAAATTGGTCTTCATTAATGATATCGAATAATGATTTATTTTTTCTTTGCTCGGTCAAAACTAGACAGGAAGTGAGTTGATAATCGATGCAATTTATTTGGGTTTAGTTCGGATTCGAGTTTGAAAAGTTCGTTTAGAAAAAAATGAGATTAAAAGACTTGATTCGTTTTTATGTGAAATAGTCAAGTTATACGAGCATGACTAGTTTTGAGTGTGAGATTGAACAATTATTTAGTAAAACCAAGCTCGAAAAATTGAAACTCAATTTGAATTTGTAAAACTCGGGAGGGGTTAAATCGAGTTTTATGTCCAAATTTGGATGATTAGGATCTGGGCAAAAGGGACTGCTTCCGGGGTCGACTATTCTTTTCCCCTCCTCCCAACCCCCACGGCCAATCCTGTTCCCTTCTGTGTGCGCTTGCGTGTGTTTGAGAGAGAAGACGAAGAAAATGAGACCTTTGGATTCAGAGGTGGTGCCAGGGGCGGGGGGGAATGTGTAATTTCCCCATAGTTTTAACCCCTTTGAAGTGTAGTGGGCGTAGGTAATGGCATTTCCCAACAAGTGAAAAAGAAGGGTTGAAAAAAGAAGATTCACTGAATTCTCCTAAACTTGTGATTGGGTGAAGAATGATTAGTTCATGAAGCAAAAACGACGGCTCTCCTCACATTAATTCCCAACCCAGAAAGTAATACTACTCATTGCCCCCCACAAACTCTCATAGTTCTCTCATTACTTTCCCACTTTTTTGAAAAGTTTTCTCATACCACCAACTTGTCATTATTCAGTAAAGGGTCAATGGCATTTTACATTGGACAAGATTCCCAAATTCTTAATTTATACCTTCAAAAGTTAAAAATCATTCACAGCTTGGCTTCATGAGAATCTCTCTCAGCTGAGCTATGCAGGAGTAGCCTTTCCAGTTTCTCTTCCGGTCACAAAACAATATTCAAATCTTCCACAAAGCATTTGCAACCCAATAAAATTTGTCAAACTCGGTTCTTGGGACCCATTTGCTGAGATCACTTCCCAGGAGAAAGAAAAATAGTTTAGTGAAGTTCCCACAATTACTGGTAGTAATGGCAACTTGGAAGCAATAACTTGCGTGAGCGTTCGGTATATACTACTTAGTGGTTGTCAAAAGGTCAAGCTGAGGTATGGTTTTGTTTTGTTCCTCCAATATGCGTTCCAGCCAATGTGGGGGTCCATGCATGATCTAATGGTAAGGTATTGAATTGTGATTTTTTATGTTGAATCCAACTGTAAATCTTAGCTTTATCATCTTTTGGTAAAGAAGTTAGGCTTGACTTTGCAGCAAGGTAATNGAAAAATTGAAACTCAATTTGAATTTGTAAAACTCGGGAGGGGTTAAATCGAGTTTTATGTCCAAATTTGGATGATTAGGATCTGGGCAAAAGGGACTGCTTCCGGGGTCGACTATTCTTTTCCCCTCCTCCCAACCCCCACGGCCAATCCTGTTCCCTTCTGTGTGCGCTTGCGTGTGTTTGAGAGAGAAGACGAAGAAAATGAGACCTTTGGATTCAGAGGTGGTGCCAGGGGCGGGGGGGAATGTGTAATTTCCCCATAGTTTTAACCCCTTTGAAGTGTAGTGGGCGTAGGTAATGGCATTTCCCAACAAGTGAAAAAGAAGGGTTGAAAAAAGAAGATTCACTGAATTCTCCTAAACTTGTGATTGGGTGAAGAATGATTAGTTCATGAAGCAAAAACGACGGCTCTCCTCACATTAATTCCCAACCCAGAAAGTAATACTACTCATTGCCCCCCACAAACTCTCATAGTTCTCTCATTACTTTCCCACTTTTTTGAAAAGTTTTCTCATACCACCAACTTGTCATTATTCAGTAAAGGGTCAATGGCATTTTACATTGGACAAGATTCCCAAATTCTTAATTTATACCTTCAAAAGTTAAAAATCATTCACAGCTTGGCTTCATGAGAATCTCTCTCAGCTGAGCTATGCAGGAGTAGCCTTTCCAGTTTCTCTTCCGGTCACAAAACAATATTCAAATCTTCCACAAAGCATTTGCAACCCAATAAAATTTGTCAAACTCGGTTCTTGGGACCCATTTGCTGAGATCACTTCCCAGGAGAAAGAAAAATAGTTTAGTGAAGTTCCCACAATTACTGGTAGTAATGGCAACTTGGAAGCAATAACTTGCGTGAGCGTTCGGTATATACTACTTAGTGGTTGTCAAAAGGTCAAGCTGAGGTATGGTTTTGTTTTGTTCCTCCAATATGCGTTCCAGCCAATGTGGGGGTCCATGCATGATCTAATGGTAAGGTATTGAATTGTGATTTTTTATGTTGAATCCAACTGTAAATCTTAGCTTTATCATCTTTTGGTAAAGAAGTTAGGCTTGACTTTGCAGCAAGGTAATTTCATTGCGATTAGGGCAACCAAGATTCGATTCATAGAAATAGTCTCTTTTCATACATGTTTAAGTAAAATTGTGTACATATAAGACCCTTTAGTGACAAAAATCTCGTGCCTGGATGCCCTTTTTAAGAAGACCAGAATCTCATCAGGCAGAAAAATATAGCATTGCAGGGTAGGACAATTGCAACAGTGAAAAGACAAGTATAGCAGGTCACTATAGAAGTCACAAAATTGTAGCATAGGAGAGGAATGCAAGAAGGTAAACAAGATAAGATAGATAATCAAAGGGTTAATACCATTTTGGTGTATAAAATCCAATGCTTCTTGAACTCTAAGTCTTCTAGATAGAGAATCATGAAAAGACATTGAAATCTAAGGAAAACCAGAGACCACTGAGAGCAAAAGAGTGATAGTGATCATTTTTAGAGTAGCCTGATAGGGGTTGTCATAGGCAGCAAATGAGTGGTAGGGGATTTGAGCTGTTTGTTTGTGTCCTTGCTGTTATTTGGCTGTCACATTTTGAACTATCAGACTGTTTATTGGCACTGATTTTTTTCTAAACCTGTATACTTTTCCTTATCAATGAAGGTCATTGCATTAGTTGATGTTTGTGTTTTGGCTTGGTTTAAGTTAGGGCAGAAATAAGATCATTTGCTGAGGCTTGAGTTGTGGCTATTGTGGTATCTGTTGGGTGTTTAACTAATATTGTTGAATGCATCATCAAACAAACTTAAGTTTTTGGAGTAATCAATAGTCCAACAAGATAGTAGAGCTTTGATTCCTCGAAGAGTTGGGTTCAAGTCTTTCAATATAGTTCCCCATCATGTGTTATGCACAAAGATGAACCCGGTTCTGATTTTATTTGTGCATATCTCTTCTTTGCATTTGGTTATGTGTCTGCTCCCTATACAAATTTGGATCTCTTTCCTTTGAGATATCAATACCACCTTCTTGTTCCCATGTGTTGGGGATTGCTGTGGGTCTTTCAAGGTCAAAATTTTCTGCTCAGAATTATGTCATCTTTCCTGGTGTTGAGGTGGAATTTTCTTCAGTTACTTCCCACTAGCTAATTGTATTAGCAATATCTCTCTTACTTTTCTAGGTCTCAGCCTGTGTGTGATTGAAAAGAAATTTTTTTATTGTAGCAGTGGGACTTAGATGGTAGGTCTCTGCCAACTGCTCTCTTAGTGCTTCTCTCACACCAATAATATGAACAAATTAGAACACATACACGGGCTCCTCTCTCCCTACACTGAGGAAAAAGCTCTCCCCTTGAACAGTGGAAAACCCATTATTTTGTCGATTCTCTATTAGGCTCTTATGAAAACAAGGGGTTCTGCTGCTACTGGGTCTCCCTCGTGATTGTATGCTTATTTTTTGTATCAAGAATCTAATACAGTGAACAGTAAAAGTGACTTCTGTTTGGTGCTTAGCTCAGCTGTTTTTTGAACAAAGCACTCACTCACACACACACACACACTTGTCAAGAAAAACTTGTAATCATAAGAACTCACAAACTTCCATTAATTAATAGACATATAAATTTGATTTGCCATATAAACAGTACAATCCATCAGTCACCCACTCCTAATTTTAATAGTATATAATCTCCCCAACTTGCATGTTGGTCCATTCTATTTACAAGTCCCAAAGGAGCTAAACTTAATCAGTGACAATAGGAATACCCAAGTTGTGGGACTATGTGGGGTCCCTCTAGGATGAGTTATTGGTTTGAATCTTGGCAAATTCCAGTGTTTTCTTGCCTTGCAGCTTGTTGTTCACATAGTGTTTGCCATATTCTCCATGGTTGTATCTTCTATACTTGCAAGGGTAGTGCTCATCTACCATTTCTGGCATTGGGCCAAGCTCTATTTCATAGCTTGGAGCATAGAATGTGACAATTGCGAGTCTGTCTTTTTCCTTGTGGGTCACTGCTCTATGTTCCGTACTCTTGTACCTCCCATTTGTGAGAACCTGTTTGATTAAATGTCGCAATACCTCATTAAACCTTTTACACTTACTAAGAGGAGAGACGAGAAATTGTTCAGGTTCCTTACTTCCATGGTGTCACCAATATTGATGACTAGAGCGTTCGGAATAGGCTGAACAGGCACCCATTTGTTGTTATGAAATATTTGAAGGCCAACTGAGCTACCTTTTCCTTGTTGCAACACTGTGAGAGCACTTCCATCTGAATGGGGGCTTAGACCCAGAACAAGGTCTGGTCTAGGACATGCTGGGTAGTAATTCATCCTCACGGCTTGCACGGCCACCCCAAACATCTCTTCAAAAACGTCCCTCTTCAGGCCAAGGCTTGTGGCTATGAATTTCAACAAATTCTTGCACAATTTCCTTATCTCTCTAGAGTATACCTCTACAGTTTCACTACAAGAAAATTAAAAGAGTAACATGCAGCCAAAAAAAAGAAGATAGTGAACTTAGTGATACATTTAGTACTACAATTACCTGAACTCAACTGGCTTTGTTGGCCACAGATTTGGGTTCCTTATGAAGTGTGGCTCTACTCCAAGAGCAAACATGTTGCACCAGTCTAACTTCTGGTCCTCCGAGAACACAAAAGCCTGGCCATAACCCTGGACAGTCCCCGGTGCCATCGGATACTTCTGTTTCTCCTCCAAAGGTAGCATGAAAAAGTCTATGGCAACCTTCTCTATGCTCTCAAGCAAACCCAGATCAATCCCATGATTTATCACCTAGCAATACCAAAGCAAGTCCATATTTGTTAAACCCCATAAGGTGACCACCACAATACAACAACTAACATTAAGAAATCACACACACACAAACACACAAATATATACCTGAAAAAATCCCCACTTCTCACAGGAAGTTGAGAGCTTCAATATTTCAATGTCGAATTCTTCTTTGTTTCCTTTTAGGAGTTTTGAGAAATCTATTATGGGAATGTTGCTAGATGAAGATGGAGTGATCTCTGTGTCTAGTGCTGGTCTTTCAGCAATGTCCCGGACGAATCTCTCAGGAATGGCTGCCAGTTTGGCCCTTCTCAACTCCTGGACATCGTCGATTTGGCCAACCTTTATAGGAGAAATTGGTACAGGAGCCATGGGAGCAGAATTTGGAGGTAAACACTAACTAACGATTCAGAAGTTTAACTAGCTGTTCATCAACTTTGAGCAATGCATTTATTTATAGAGGAATTGAGGACCTTGGTGTATTTTTAATGTGTGTGGGCCCAAATTAATACACTTTATAATTCAGTCATGCATGTAACCTTTAATTTAGACATGCTGATTATGTAATGCTTGCATATCTGTCTAATCAGTGAAAACCAATGCATTAATCATTGTCATTATTTTTTTTTTGGGGGAGGAGAGAGAGGGAGGATTTGAACCCTTGACCTCAAGAAGGCAAAACCTTCATAAGGTAAGGAATACCATTGAACTAAAGGTCCATTGGTATTAATCATTGTCATTAAATCAACCAAATGACCAGGAAATCACTTAAAACAGCAAGGGTTGTGCTGTTTTTTCTCTGCCTTGTACATGGTTAACCTTATAAATTCAACTTGGTATGCAATATGTTTCTTACTTGATTACATAAATCTTAAGAGCGTCATGGTGTATGTCACAGGTACCAAAAAAAAATTGGGACAAGCTACGACTCAATGGAGTCAAAGTTACGGTTCAATCATGTCAAAAAATCTAAGATCAAGTGTACACAAGCTTAGGATTGGTAAAAGGATAATAGGTTGTAAGTTGTAATTTGCGTATGTGAGTTGTAACTTGACCTTATAGTGTTCATAACTTTTAATACGATACCAAAGAGTTTGGCCTTGCAGAAATTCCCAGAAATTGAGTGTGAAAAAGAATCCAGAGATAGGAATCTAACAGTAGTACTTGATTGTCTGTTGTGGCAGAGTAAGTGGGCGATAGTAGGGGCCATTCTGAATTGCAAGTAGATGTCTCCAATTCTGCAGACCAATTCTAGTGATTATTGTCATCATCCCCTTGTCCTTCCTCACCTCCACTCCTTCAGTAAGAGCTCTTAAGCAGGCCCTAAGCTCTATAACACAGCATTTGGAAGTTGAACACCTGAGCAGAGTAACTGAACCACCCTTCAACTGATGGGAAACATTATTGTACCGAATTTTTACTTTTCAATACTATACTAAAAAAGTGAAAAAAATTTCCCAAAAAATAATAAATTCCACCCAAAAAGTGATAAAGTAAATCCGAAAAAATAAGTGCACCCCAAAAGTTAGTAAGCTAGATCAAAAAAATGACATAGATACTCTAAAAAATGATAAATGGTATGGTACCCATTGTTTTTGGTACCCTAGTCAAACCTTTAATTGATAATACCACAAGACTGGCCTAACCCTTTTGCCATCACCCCCATGGAATTTTTCAAAAAATACATCAGTAACTTCACTGACTTGAGTGGGGACTGCTTTTCCTCTATGAGAGCTTTCCACTTTTTTAGGTTTTTTTGGAGTTATTTGTGTGTGTAGTAGCTTTGGCTTTTTAATTACTTAAATGGTTGAAGAAGTGCGTATCCACAATACAGATGCGGTGATTAATTGGACCCTTGGTTAATTGTTGTCTATGGTCACAAGAAGGTAAGTGGTGCAACTCCTAAGCCCCATGGAAGGTTAGGCTCGAGCACTTTCCTCCCCTAGTATATTTGGATGTGTTGGGCTGAAATTTGTTGACATCTTCATCAAACATAGGTAGGTCTAAGTTGAGAGTCTCAAAGTGAGATGATCAAGTTGTGCTGAACCCACCTCCATTCTAAGGTCAATAGCAAGAGCAATCAATCTAATGCACAAAATTTTTATCACTGTAGAATCTAGAGGGAGGTGTACACAGTCACATTCAGGGCTAGACTAAGTGCATCTAACTATTGGGAGACTCTATAGTGATTGATATTTTGTGTTCTAAACAATCGTTTTTTGAATTGAATTAGAAGGGAAAAAAACAACTCTGGTATTTAAACTCTCAAAATTTGCATATCGTTTGGGAAATTGATCTATTAGCAAGATAAAAATTGATCCCAAATGTATTAGGATAAGGAGATTTTTTTTTTTTTTTTTTTGGGTAAAGGGGGAATCTCTAGTCTGTCTCCAACGAATAGAAGCGTTTTATTTTGCTCAGATTCGTGAGTTCGAGTAGAATCAATGACAAATTCTGGGTGCATGAAGTGGTATCTCAATTTATGCATCAATGAAATTAGGACTTGAATTTTGGTAGAAATTCGAACTCATACCAAAGACTTGGATACGATTTGTTTAAGTATTTAAGATTCGTTTTACCAACTAATCATACTTTTTATTACTTAAGAGACTTTAGAATCCTTAACTTTAGGATGACAAAATTTTTACAAAAAAACGGAAACTATTGGACCAGTAACCCTTGAGACAAGGAAACGTGGATTTAAAGCAAAGATGAAAAACCAAGACATTAGGAGATAGACTTTAACATGAGTTTGTCGGAGGACAATGCAAACCAACCAAAAAAAGTGGACCCCAGAGGACTCATTGGCCTCCAAATAGGGGTGTCAATTTTTAATCCTTAACACGAACCCGACTCGAACTCGAAAATAACATAATTAGTTCACATGAGTAATAAATTAGTCAAATTAAAGTTTAACACGATCAATAAGTACTGTAAATAAAAAATAATTATTATATTAGTTATTATCAAATTAAATAATTTTTTATTAACACGACTCCAATACGTATTAAAAATAATACGACACAAAAATAATACGAACGAAAATAACACGATACAAAAATAATACGACACAACACAATTAACACCTTTATCTCCAAAAGTCCCATGTGAACGCGTGTCCCGAGAAAATAAAAGGGAAATGGCCATTCAGACCGAAGGAATCTCTCTCTCTCTTTTCACACACACACGTGTTTCCATGAAGTCATTTTGCCATACAAGTTGCTTTCACTAGGCTAGCTGCTAGCACCACTTAAGCAGCAGCAGGAACACTGGGCCATGGCCACTCTTCCTCAGCTTTGGTTTTCCAAGCTACCTAATTTTTTTCACTTAAACGGTAAGAAATATTCAGATCAATTTACATATACTTGATTAATTCCCTCCTTATATGTGTGTAATATAAAACTTGTGCTTCTTCTTTTTTTTTTTTTTTCCCTAGCTACATCTCAAAATAAAAAAAATCCACTTATAGCACAGGAGTAAACAACCATAAAATAGTGAAAAAGAAGCCCGAAAAAAGAACATTAGAATGGAGCTAATGTGACAGATGAAGCAGCATTAAACCGAAGTCATCGTTACTGTTCTCTCTCTCTCTCTAGAGAGAGAGAGCTTCATGAATTACCCACCAAAAAAATTACAAAAAACCAAAAAATACATGAAAGAAAAATGAAAACTCCAACCATTAGAAGCAATGAAAACAGAGTAAACGACTAAGACCAGCAAATTCACGATAGATTCTCCATGTCCTAGAAGCTATACCAACTGTAGAATGCTCGTGTTAACTTTAAAGAAAAATACACATTCAGAGATAGCTAGATAAACAGGAGAGAAGAAGCAGAGTGTTTGTTACGTGGCTGCATAGTTTGAATCTGAAAAAATGGGCTTCAAAGCCGCTGGTGTTTGTACACTTGAAAAGTTTTTTGTGGTGCTATAAGGAGAAGTAAAGAAGACAACTTTTACAATGATAAAATGAAAAAAGACTCTGTAATAAAGAACTGATGCAACCATGGTGTCTACACAAAAGATTCTGAGGAGCAATGAGGAATACAATCCACATTGTAAACTTTATGAATTTTTACTTGAAATTCGAAGAATAAAGAATGCTCCTGCTCTGATGATTCTAGGAAAATCCTTGAATAAGGTATTCACTGCATTCAATTGGTATATTCGTATATCCCTTGCCTGAGCAATGAATGTAGTTCACGATGGGGCCCCTACCACTAGTTGTCTATAGGGATTTGGGATTTGGGATTTGGTATTGAATCAATCCTTAACTTCGTTTGGTCACTTCACGGAAAAAAAAAAAATACAAAAAGATTTCAGGCTAACCAGAGGTTGACGCTGCCTGCTGCTTCCAGCCAATGCACTTATTTCCCGTACCTGAAAACAGAGCTCCTGAGTTAGTATTATAAACTAGAAGAATAACATCGATTCAAATGCAGAGAACAACACCACAAGAAAACAAACATATTTTACCTGCTTATATCTCTGAACCCCTGCTAAGATTCAAGTCAAACAAGACACGGGAACGTCATTGTGGAGTTTGTGACAGTTGTTATCACTTGGTATTTAGCAATTGTTTGAGTACTCAAAAGAATTGCTTCTAAGGGAGGCCAGGGAAGAGGTCAAAAAGGAGAAGAAAAAAATGACAAAAACCAAAAACCACAGACATAAAAAGACCTAGCCCAATAAGAAGTTCATTTGCATCAAATTGAAACTATGGTTGGAAAAGTTAACAGTAACACAGCAGCTTGATTCAAAAAGTGCAGCCTCTCAACACAAAAGGAGCGAACCCCCCCGTAGCCCCACCCATCAGATCCCATTCAATTCATGCTGGAATGATAGCAAGACCCAAGAAGATTGTATGTCCACGTATAATTACTGTCCCGTTCTCCATATTACAAGCAGAAATAAAATAGTAATACGTAGTCAATTATCAGAACAAAAAAAAAGTATGTTTATCCTTACAAAGTTATGGTGCTCTTCAATTTTCCAACCTTGGACAAGGAAATCCACCCAAATCCCAGGCATGATTCCGCGCAGAATACAGCAAAATTTCAAGTTCTTGCTATATCCAAGTCCTTTGAGCTAGCTTTTCCTACAATCTCTTATTAACAAGGGAGAGCCACTTGCTTCACCTGAACCTAGATCTCTCTAAAAACATCCAGCACAGACATCAAACACATATTTACCGTGGACTTGAGAACGAGTTAATACCTCTGAGATCAGGTGCTCTGTAAGATTACCTACCCATGCATAGCAACCTTCAATAGAAGACAGAAGGAAAAGGAGCCAAAACTTGAAGGTACAAATGCACAGGGAATTCCTCTTTAAAACATTTTTTTCTATTCCATGAAAAATCAACAATATGTAGGGTAACAAAACACTAAGTCATCCATAAGAATGGACTGGTCATGACAAAATTAGAACCCAAAAATTCAGGATATGTGACAACCGTTCTTAAATCTCTATAGTTACTGTCTCCCTCTAGCTAAGAATGTATGGAACCCAATAAATAAGAAGTGCACTCTTAACAAACTCGAGTCTTCTCCTTGAAAAAGCAGAAATTTTACATGTCCCACTCGCCACTACCCCATTAATGTAAGGGTGAACATCCTATGCTTTTATGACGTAGAAAACAAGCTGAATATTTTTATAAATAACAAAGATGGCAAATCAGTCCCATTTTGTACACATGTACAGAAAGGAAACGAGCCGGTAATGTCATGTCTCTTCATCAAATTACAACGGCTTGTCCAGTACAGCCATCCACAGGCCTGCTTGCATGGCCGCCCAAGTCCCTGTTCGCAGGGAAATAAACCAGTGAAACACATTATATACAAGGCTGACTTAATCTCTAATACCCCTGAAACCTTGGCGGCTGATGGCCTCAATTGCAAGCCGTACCAAGCGTACAAGTTCCTCTACATCTTGGAAGCTGAAGTCAATGACTCTCTTGACAGATATAATACCCTCCTTATTCTGAGCCTCTTCCAGGATTACATTAGCAGCTGCAAAAGCATGCTGGCATTTCCTGGAGGCCTCCATGGCAGAATTTACATCCTTGGTCTGTAAAACAATCATACGATGAAATACTTATCCTCTTATATCATACCACAGAGAAAATAACCATAACGGCAGGCAGGCACGTCAAATGCATGCGAGTTCCTTTCTGAGGCGACCAATTATGAACAAACTTAAATCTGCCAAAATTTTGGCTAGACACTAGGTTCTACCAGATGTCCAGAGCTTATTTATGAAAAACCTACTCTAGATTTGTGAGCAAATTATAATTCACTTTAAGTCTCTAAACATCACAAATCTGCCGAGTCACTACATATTACAAGATTGTTGACCTAATCGTTACTTCATACAAGTTTATGCCAAACTACAGGTCTAATTTGGTTTCCAAAAAAGTGTGTATATATGAAGTAGCTTTATGCAGAGAGTAAACCAACTTACAAAGTCAAGCAGCCGAACAAAGTTGGGACAATTTCGACGAACAACATGGTTTCCTGATTGAGAACCCAATCCTTTGGAAAAAGCAACCTTTTCCATCATTGCTTGGTTATTTAAACTATCAATATCAGATGCAGAGGATGACGGAGATTCCCCTGAGCAAAATATTAGAAAAAAAGTGTAGCATCAACAACAAAGCATCACCCAAAATGAAAAAAGTGCAAACACATGGTTATTGCAAATGTGTATGATGTACAAGCTGGTTAGAGGGAAGTTCATTTGGACAGGAAAGTAATAAATTGGAGAATAGCCAATATCCACGCCCACAATCCCCAGACAAACCAAATTATGTAGAAAGAGAGGGGAAGAAAGAGAGGAGGAGTGCATGTGCGCTTACTCATTGACTGACACCACCTATTTGTGTAATTCTAAAGAATCATAAAGTATATTTGACATTATTATCCCCATTCATTGGATAAGATGAGTATTACGTTAGCTCGAATTTACACCAATGAATCACGTCAGTCTAATTAAAAAACATATTTCAGTTATGCTCAGTGCACACCAGTAGAAGATATCATATTCTTTTTTGATTAGAAAAAGTTACCTCAAATGAGGCATCGGAAAAGCTTTTGACCATATGAAATCCATAATGTATTATGATCTTAGCAAACTCTAAGGTGGCCTAGATCCAACAGGAAAATACTGTTGAGGTTTTGAGCCAAGATGGATGAGATGGGGTAGAGGTGTTGATACTATATACTTGGGTCGTAACAGAAAAGACATTTGTCAGGTACTAGAACCACTGTACCACCAAACACATCACCATGTCCCCGATCCCTCTCCCAGGTGGTGGCCTATGGTTTCTCCTTCATATTTAGGAATTTTGAAAGAAAAAAAAAAAAGGCAAAGCAAAGAATGCCACAAGACAAATGAATGCACTTTATGTATGTCCAACGATACCATGACATTTCTCATACCTTGTGGAACCATTTGTAAACTTGCTTGCAAATCTTGCCGATCTCTATTAGTACTCGAATTTTTGCAATAAACTACCCTCATGTATGCAACCTCCATGCATTTATAGGCCAACGAAGCGGCAGCCATTTCTTGGCATTTTTCATATTCATGTGCACAGTTTCTGCAAGCAGAAATTAGTTCAGGATCAAACCAACAAAAGGGTTGTCACGCAGATATAACAGCTTCAACACTGCCATAAGATGACTCCCGACTAATTCTGAATTCATACTCAGCCAAACATGAAGACATAAAAGATCGTCCCAATTCCAGATAAAAAATAACTATGTAAAAGTCAAAATAAAATACTAACCAGGTACACATAAGAATACCTAATTCGTGAGTAAGTTAAAAGTATCCTTGGCATGTTGATGTGCTGTCTTAAGAATCAAATGTATTGAATGGCCAATAGCATGCCAATATATATCCCATGCCATCATTAATATCCATGACCATTTCAACTCCTCCATATGAATAACTAAAATCACCAAAATGCTAGTGTCAAGGCAACAACTTTATATCAATCCATTCTTTTAATATGCAAATATATTTAAATTAGGAATCGACCAGCGGAAAAAGCAATTACCCATCACTGATTCCCTGCTTATACAGGATGCTGGCCAACCATACATAAATAGGACATTTGTATATTTTCTCAAAGTGGCCGTCCCTCTACTTGAACCCTGTTCTCTTGCTAGGGACCCCAGCATTTTAGCATGCACCAAGCAGTGGCCCCCTTTGGATTATCATATGGACCATCATTAAAAGGCACTGCCATTATTGTCCCACTTCAATAGGGTGCTGAGGGGGCTAGACTTGATGTAAAGATCTAAGCTTCAGTCATTATTTAACAAAATGCCTGCTTAACTACTCAAGCCCATGTTCTCACACACAGGTTCGTTTTTTCGCTGGGGCTTACAATTCACCTTCTGGTTCATTCCTTCCATCTAAACCAACATATCCAAAAGGAATGTCCAACAGCAGCCAATTTGAAGGGGTATCAAATCAATAAAGCTCCACTCAAGTGATATTTTAGGAAAATATCAAATGGCAATTCATCTATCAATAAACCAATTGACTGAAACAAGAAGCGACCTTCCTAAGGCAGAAATACTACATACATAGGCCTTATTACATGAGCAAGTCATGAGAAACAGCATACTCCATAAAGCAACAAAAAGTAAACTTACTCGCACAGTTGGGCTGTATTACTATAGACTTGCATTTGAGTCATCTGTCCATGTTTGCTACTTTCACGATTGCAGGTTTCGAGAAGTGAAGCACAGTGAAGAAACTTTAAGGCAGCTTGGAAATATGCCTCATTACATTCAAAACCAAACCCAGAGATCTACCCACAAAAAAAAAAAATCAACAATTAGAATTAAGCCAAAGAGAAATGCAAGAAGGATAACCGAAGCTACAAAAATACAAACAAGTATCATAGAATCCTGCCAAAATATTTAAAACATTCAGAAAGCAAACCAGAATATCAAGCTTCAAAGAAGCCTAAGAAAAAATAGACTGAATAAAGAGCAGTCTCAAGAAACCTTAAGATGATCAGCATAATCTCTGAGATCTTCAGCTTCTTTCAATGCGTTAGAAGCTGGTTGGCTGGCGGCATCCCATTTCACATGACTAGGAGCACTCAAATCCCTGGCCAAATACTGATCAGAGACAGGATGTTGCATGCTCTGGTGAGCCCCATTCTGGGAAACAGCATTTCCAGGCTGTTTTAACACATTTGACACATCACCATCCACAGAAGGCTCAACAGGTCGTACATCCAGCAGACTTCCTTTCAGAGATCCAGGTACTGATTGGGGAACACGAACTAGTGTATGTTGTTTAACTGTGTAATGTGTGTTGACAAGTGACTTCCCCCTCCTTGACTCTACTTGAGTTGAATTGCCTTTCCTTGCAATTTCACCCTCAATATCCTGAGTCAAGTTCTGTTGTGCTGTAACTCTCCCATCTGTGCTACATGGCGCACCCAATTTGACATCTGAACTATCATGCTCTCCGAATTTTGACATGTTCTCACTTATATGGTCACTTACCCATTTTCCCGAAGTCTTCTTGCCAACACTCTTATCACCATTAATAGATTTAATAGTATGCTCACCAATAATATTATTTACGTCACCTAGTTCTTCATGGCACGTCGTGTGATAATGGGGTCCAATGTGTGTCTCATCCCTCAGGCTTTTCTTTTGACTTAAGTTTCCCTGCTCATTCAATGGTTTGGATACCTTTCCGGTTCCTCTTTCTCTATTGTGACCACCTGTGTACATGTCCTTTGACTGCAACAAGGAACCATTTATAGATATTTGCGGAGGTGATGCCGTAATAAGATGGTTCTTGTCCGCTCTAACCTCCCTGCTGAAATGGTATGATGCATGCATATTAGAGGGGCATGGGCCATGTCCTTCAAAGATATCAGCATCACTATTTCCCAAATGGTCATTCCCCACTTCACAAAGATGTTTAGAAATTGATTCAGATTGGACGCCAAATTTCTGCTTGGCATCAGTGTCCCGAAAATCATGCGTGGGAAACCCAGAAGATTCAGGATGAAAGACACCAGATGTTTTTCCTTTCATTGCTGTCCAAGATTGACTGATCTCAAAATTACCATCCCTATCCAGGTGTTTTCCAGGGCTTCCAACTAAAAGAAAATCATCATGTTTAGCATCATCCTTCCCTGAACTGTTGATTCTTGCTGGCGAAAGCTTGTCAGAATTGAAAGTCCTCATGGGAGACGAAGAAACAGATTCTACTGGTGATCCTTTCACCTCTTGGTAATTGGCTCTAGGTTTATGCGAGTCTGAAACCTTTGAAGAGCTAGAAGTGGCTGCCATGGACAACTGTTGAGGTCCCAAATCCCTTTTCAATGAGTCTAGATCATACAAGCTTGCTTGAGATGCAACCTTCACTGTATCTTTCATTGGCTGCTGATTGTTCTCAACATTCCTTTCAACTGATTTACCTCTCCCACCTGACAGGAGGATTCTGGCCATCCTCCCATTTTTGTTTGACCCATCATCACCTTTACTGGTACTAGAATTCTTTCCCTCAGTCCTAGACATCCTGGACTTCTTTTCTTTCCTGAATTCACTATCACCACTATCCTCCTTCACCGAAACCTTGCCATCTGGGGGGTGACTCCCATTATTTTGTAATATTATCAAATGATTCTGACTTTCCTGCCAATCCTTCAATTTTCGCTTCTTTCCATATACTTCTCTTCCATCACTTGTTCCCATATTGACATCATGGTCCCTATGTTTCTTTACAGAAATTAATAACCTGTTCTTTGGATCACAGTTTGCATCCTTAGAATAACTCTGTCCACTGTGTCTCCGCATATCCTTCCCAGCTGCCTTAGTTAGCAAATCAGTATTTGAGCTCGCACCCACCACTCGAAGTTCCCCAACATGTTCAGAAGTCCAGTGCTTGTCAGTATCAGTTGCAATCTTGATCTTCTTTGTAGTTCCGTATCCCATCTGATCGGACTCCCCCTTGCTTTTCTTCTTTTGCTTTGTATTACCTGCAGATAGTTTATAGGGTGAAAACAAATTACATGTTTCTGCCTAAAGAAGTACGACAGGCACAAAGAAATGTTAACTCTAAAATGAATTACTTGACTCATTCTACTTGATTTTTTGTCATTTTCAGATAGTTTTGCCAGAGTGAAGTATATGATTATAGTTTTGCCAGAGTGAAGTATATGACTTTCTCAGATGCTGACCATTAGATTTACTCATCAGATTTGTCTCGGAAAGAGGCTGTTGCGTGTCATTTAACCTTCTGCTTTTCCCCGCCTCCTGCCGGGAATTCTTTCCAAATTTCGGAGTCTGAATCAGACCACCATTGCTAGTGATGTCAGATGTTTCTTTGGATTTATACTTCTTCTTTCCTTGATCAAGCAAGGCATCAGAACTGAGATTCTGGCGATTCAGGTTAAAATGCCGGGCATCAGCTGAAGTTACTCCAGATGCAGTTCTATCAGCATTATTCTGAAAATTATTTTGACTTTTAGCAAGTGGAAGTTGGTATAACTCGTGGAGAGCTTTTGTTGTCTCCTCCTCACTGATATCACACTGATTCATTCCAGGCCTAAAAATTAAGAGAAAGTGAAAATCTCAGGCTTTAAAGAAATTATGTCTGTTTATGTACAAGTGTGGTGTATATATATCTATACAGTGAATTGTTAGAGCATCCAACCCAATAGCAATGGGTATAGTGGCCCCTCAACTCTTCAAGTATATAAACCAACTTTGGTGGTCCTAATTATTCGACGTGGAATACAAGCTCTCTTAACCCCATCCCTCTTGTGGGTCCCAGGCTCGCACATGGGGCCAACAAACAACTATGCGGGAAATTTCAAATGGGTAAGAGACTTGGGCAACTGACCACCTAAGGCCCAGCTCCGATACCATGTTAGGGCATCCATCCCAAAACCAATCGACAATGAGTAGAGCGGCCCTTCAAGTAAATAAACTAACCTTGGTGATCCTAATTATTTGATGTGGGATACAAGCTCTCTTAACATGAATGAGATATTTGCGTGGGCGTGGGCGTGGGCGTGGAATCAAAACAAACCTATCAGCCAAGTTTAGCCTAGAAGTCTAGCACCATTATTGTAACCATCAGTTATGTTAACTGTCAGGCTACTATGTAATCATAAATGCTATAGCAAGAAACTTACAGCCAGTTTAGCATGCTACACAACCACTTCTCAGGCAGTTGTTCTGGCTTCATACCATAGGGCAGAAGACGCCACTTCTGGCAATGGTCACAACACACCCAATCTTCTTCTATTACAACAGGGGCCACTGAAGCCATTTCTGTCTCAGAAGTGAATCCTTTAGTGGGAGGAGGACCAATGTTTGAAGCCACCTTCAAAAATGTTTCGGATGTCAACTGGACATCAACTTTTTTGCAGCTAGTTCTCTCCGTCAGTTTATCAACAAATGCATGATGTTCTCTATTAGTCTCAAGATTAGAATAGTTTGCACTATCACTGGTTTGCCTGTTCAGCGGATCAATCTGGTTATCTAAATTCTCTGATCTTGAGTTAAGCACTTCTTTGTAGCTGTCGTGGACCTTGTGAAAATCATTCTGACCACTCTTCATGTTTTTTGGTGCAGAACAAGAACCAACCCTCAAGGTTTCTCCTAAAGCTGAAGCCAGCTTGCTATTACTTTGACTTCCTCTGGACTTCCTTTTGCCTTCATATGACTTTTTCATAGCGTAAATTTTCATTTCATCCTGTCCATGGGATGTAGCTTTTGGACCAACCTTCCGTTTCACATCATCCATTGCCCCTTTAAACTCACTCTCACACTTACGAACATCAAATTCGGCTTCAAATGGGTCACGAGCGAATTCACTCGTGCCACCCTGCTTATGATCAACTGAAACAACCTTGCAGAAGCCTCTAACTGTGTGTTCCTCAATCTTTCCCACTAAAGAATTCCTAGTTTCTTGATGATGATACTTACCATCATCTTGGCCATTTATTGATTCCAACGACTCCTCAGCCAAGTCAGAGGATGGTAATCTGTCTTTCATCCAGTATTTATTGACCTCCCTTTTCTTCACTGGGACAACCTTCTCAGCCTCCCTGGAGACTTCAGCTGTTGCCCTAGCACCTTTCAAAGAGTCATCAATGTCACATATTGAATTGGACAGAGGGTTGAGTTTTAATTCTTTAGAGAAACACTGTTTGCTTTCAATGGTTTCACTTGCTGTCTTTTTCCTTGAAAGTGATACCATGTCATCAATAACATCCATATCATTCCCACTCTTCGATTCCTGAAATGTTTCACCCTTCCCCGTAGATTTCATTTTCTTCTTTTTCAACACTTTCCCATTCCCCAGCTTGCAAGCTGAATCATTTACAGAAATGGCGGAATTTTCCTGCCTACCCCTGAAAACAGGTGCCAGCTTACTGTCTAGTGAAGGTTTTTCAGTTTCTATCAAGCAAAGCAGAAAGTCATGGAGAGGCGAAAGCAGAGGGGTCCCAGGGACTGGTGAGGATGCCATAATCTGTTGCATCACATGAGAAAACAACTAGGTCACTATAGCAGCATACAGCAACAGAAGCATGGCATATTTTAACATCGAATGAAGCTCACCTGAAGAATACTGGTTGGAGATTCATTCAGAGCCTCTTGAACATCGAATGGCATCCCACCACTTCTCTCAGGGCTGTTTCCAATTGATGAAGATGGAGAAATAAACCCGAGAGCACTATATATTTCTTTTTTCTGTGCTGTGTTATCAGAACCCACTTTGATCCGAACCGTTAGTCCTTTCCGATTAGTTGGATTGGCCAACTTACTCAAAGAAAGTTCATGTCTCATGGGGAACCTTTCAGCAACTTGTGCAGATGACAAGAATGAATCTTGTCTGGCTGAAACCTCCCGAGATGAAACTTTTGGATTATTCAATGAAGGCATAACATGGGAAGCATTTCCTTGCCTCGGAGGCAGGGGTGCATCTGAGGGAGTCACAGAACCCCGGGAAGCACCCTGTATGGTAACACAACCCACAGTATTCCAGTAAACTAGAATTCCCAAGCTGACAAAAGATCGACAAACATTGCTCCTTTTATTGATTTATCGAAAAATAAGAAGGAAATTTTCCATATACCTCCATAGACAAAGTGTTAGAGGATCTTGGTATCCTCTGACTCTGAACTGTCGGAGGAGACTTTGGATGAGACCAAAGAGAAGGAGAGCGCTGATACATGGGTAAGAATGAGCCATACCCACCAAATTTTGCCCCTGCAAAAATAATCAAATTCCATGCAATCATTTTAATTGATGCAAGAAGACATTTATACTTCTTTTGTGATCCAAAAGCTCCCTTGTGAATTGCTTACCCAAGTTCTCTGCAGAAACCCCGCCCTCAAAATCTTTCTGCAAATGACCCAACACACTTTGAAGCTTCTCATCCTGGACAAATAGAAAACGAACGGTTACTACTTATCAGTGTAATTATACATGCAAAAGCATCATATCAACGAAATTGAACTGCTGCTAATGAATTAATGAGAACAGTGGTAGCAGGAAAAAAAAAAGGAATTGATGAGAATTGACTTGAAGAAAGAATTGCAACCATCATCTGTTCAATTAGTGTAAAGACAACTATGAGTTCACAAACACACTAAACATCCAAAGCCTACCCAGGAACAGTTTAAATTCGACGACTTTCAACTCAAACTTAAACTGCCAATTCTTCTATTCAGTTACTTAAAAACACCAGTTACAAAAACATTAAGTATTTCAGTCACATACTAAAGTCATCAAATTATTCTGTCCAAATTTTCAAAAAAAAAAAAAATTAAGAATTAGCTGGTTCATATATGCATAGTCTCAATGTGATATTATACAGAGTAAGAACACAAGAGAACTCTTACAATGTAAGAGAGAGCTATATCAGGGTCAATGCTTGTGTCGTCCTTGTAATGGCAAGCAACTCCTTCAAACTCAGGCTCTTCCATCTCTGCCCCAGGCAACCTTAACCCTAACATATTAAAATTCTCAAAATCCTAACCCCAATTCACCACCTATACTAAAGTCCAACATACCGCTCACAACACAAAAAGACAACTTCGACCCACGAAAGTACTCCCAAAACCCCAAAAACCCTAAGAAGGAATTGCTCTGAAACCCACTTGACCATACACAATTACATACCCTTCAATCAACCCACTTCATCATCTACATCTGCATATATGATATATCTTTGTATCACTCGAAATAATTGACTTAAATATCTCTTACAAGTTCTTTATTTTGATAATCGTAGTTGAAAATGGTAGAATCACTATATTCTCTGACGCACCGATCGAATCGATTCTGAATGTAATGTTTTGGTCAGTATAGAGAAAGAACTGCGTTTTCTTCTCTATTCTATTCTTTTCTTCATACTATTTTTTTTTTTTTTGTCTTGCCCTTTTAAATATTTGGACCAACTAAATTAATTTAAAGAATCAAAAATACTTTTTTGTATTTTATTCATTCAATATAAATTCGACGTTGAATAGTTGAAATCATTAAATACTTGTGGATGATATCAAGATCAAAATCTATATAGAAAATAAGTCTATAGGACTTTGATGGAATCAACTAACCTGGAGATTAGATTGATTGACCCAATATATAAGGACCCAGGTCAGTTAGTCCTTTAACTAGCTCGGCTAATACTTGAATCAGTTCCGACATTATCAAATGAGCTCGATTTATCTGAAACTGCTCATTTTAGTGTGAACGATTTGATAAAAATAAAATTATACAATCAAATATTACTTAGAGGATGAAGGATTTATCTTTAGAATGTCACGTCCTCAACTTTTAAAATATCATGTTACACTTAAAGATATAATCTCTAATAATTAAATATTATATCTGAAATCCTAACAAACTATGAAACCACCTTATCATTACTTGACGATCACACTACTCTAGTATACAAATAAACAAACTCTTATCTTGTCCAAAGAATGCACAATTGTATCTTTATAAAACTATAACTATCTTCTTCCTTGTTATTGGACCGTTTCTCTTACTTTGCACATAATACCCTCGTTTCAAAATAGTAGAACTTGAAAAAAATGAAAACAATGGAGCTTGAAGTCCAATGTTAATTGGAATTCACTTTTTCAATTCAATATTTGTAATTAAAAGGGTCTTTCTCTGGGACATGAAAGATGTCACCATTGTGGAAATGACTTACCGCAGGAAGGAATCTATTAAAGATTAGAGACATGATTTTATTAACTACTTAGAAGTATGATACGTGGCCATAAGAAAGCCACAAAAAAAATCTAGGACGTGTTTGGTTATGTTGTGGAAAATAGTTTTTTGTTTTTAAAATTTCAAAAACACTAAAAATATGTTTACTTAGCATTTTTGTTTTCAAATTATTGAAAAAAAAAATGAGATTTGGAGCAAAGAAACAAAAAATAAGTGTAACTTGTTTTCGAATTTTTCTTTGAAAATGTTGGAAACATGGAGAACAGTTTTGGGATTTTAATGAGATCTGTCTTTCGAGTCTCCTTAACAATTCTCTCCTTCTCCTACATATTCTTCTCCAGCTTCTCCCTCCCCTCCCCCCTCTCTCTCTCTCTGTGCAACGAAGGTGAAGTACCGAAGCACATATCTAAAGCAATGAAGATGGAGCCCTTCACTTAAATCTGAAGCACAGATTTGTATAGATCGTTGTATAACGAAGATGGATCCCTTTCTCTCTCTATCGCAACAATTAAAGTTCAGATCTACATAGATCTGAAGCACAGATCTGTGTAGATTTGAATATGGGTCTGGATCTGTGTGTGTGTGTATGTGTGTGTGTGTGCGGATTTTGTAAAGACAGGAAGAGGGGAAAAGAAAGATAGAGATAGTGTGAATTTTGTGAATTATTATTCAAACAGATTTTATAATTTTTTATTTTTTAAAAATATTTTAAAAAATATATAACTAAACAAGTTTTGTAATCTAAAAATTTTTAAAAACACTTTTTTAAAATTCTTCTCAAAAATTATTTTCGAATACTATTTTTTGAGATGTAAACTAAACATGCTCCAAGTAATTTGAGACAAAACCCGTATTTTGGTTAACCAGATGTAAAGCTTTGAACTTTCGGAGGAGCCCCAACTCCAATAAAAATTTCCTATTCCATTCTTTATCAATAGTGGTATACAAAATGGTTTGGTTTATGCCCAAACAAAAATTGTTATACAAGTGCTTTTTTTTTTACTATTCATACCTACCCTCTCTTTCATAACATATTGACTCTCTCCATCTCCAATCCTAATTAAAACCAAGTGTTTCTTTGTGCTTTAGAGGGAGTTAGCTCTTTGGCTCGGACGGAACACTTCCATAGTTTTTGATACTACATTTGTTTTGAAGTTGATAGAGGATAAGTTCTCTTGTTATCAGTTCAATTCACTCAAAATCGATGGTCGATGCTCTACTTAATCGGTATGGGCACAGGCTCAACGCAAAAGTGTATTATAAGTATAGGATCGCAATCTAAGTTAAGGTATGGACACCACACTCTACCATATTAAAAAAAATATATATATAATACTAAAAAATAATTTTTTGATATTAAGGTGTGGCTATGTATTTTGTGTTCTTTTTAAATTTTTTAAGAGCCAAGATATTTGTTGCCACCAATTTTATTTCAAGTAAATTATCATGCGTGTAAATTCAAAAAGATTGTTCTTAGAATTTTGCTTTTCATTGTAAATACACTAGGGATAACTTGTGTTTTTAAGTATAGTATAATGTGAATAGTTTTTAGAGAGATATCGATGATCGTTAGATGAGTCTATTTAAGCTTATCAGATAGACTTATTGAAGTTGTCTGTTTTTATATTAGAGTTAATTTCAACTAATACCCTGAAAAATCAGTCGAATCTCAATTTATACTATATCAATATGTATCAATGTGCACTTAGGATTAACTGTCGTCTATTTTACTGTTAAAAAAGTTTAAGTTAATTATAAATTACACCCTCAAAGTTTAAATATTTCACATTTATAATTTAAAAATAAAATTCATCAATTAATACTTATTAAATAACTCTCAACTATATCGTATTATAATATTCTCGTGTCGTGTTCAAGTTGATAAAAAAATATTTTTGTATTAAGTTAATTACATTGTATCATATATTTTACATTTACAATAATTCATATATTTATTTTTAGCATATAATACTCGTTATATAACTCTTTTATGTCTACAATTGTATTATTCGTATTTAATTTTAATTTGATCACACCAACAAAAAATTTGTATCTAACAGGATACAGAAAAGCTATTTAACAAGCATTAATAAATAGATTTGAATCATAAATATGAAATATTTAAATTTTGACAAGTACAATTTATAATTAGTTTGAAATTTATGGCAAAATATACGGAGTTACCCTAAGTGTACATTTATATGAATTTATATCTTTTAAGGTATAAATTAATATTTTTAAACTTTGAAAGTATAAATTAAAATTTAAATGATGTTTGAGATTAACCCTTTATATTAAAGAGATTATGGATGACACGTACAGACGGTCGGTTACTTATACAGTAGATTATCGACGTACGGGTCGTCGGGGTGGAAAAACAGGAGAGATCGAGAGAGAGAGAACAATGGAGGGAGAGGGACTAACAGAAGAGGAACGAAGGGCACTCCGTGGAAGCAAATTTGCACCGCTTCCATCTTCTGCCCCTTCTTTCCGATCTCAGCCCAGGTTCGTATTGTATATACACACATATATCAATATCTCTCTCCCTCTCTCTCTCTTTCTATATATATATATATATATATATATATATATATATCTATAGGGTTTATTATTTTGGACAAAGGTTTTTTGTTGCTCTGACGAAGTAACGGTATCGCTAGGGCAATGTATATACATGTGTGTGTGTACATCTAGGGTTATTATTTTGGTGAAGTTTTTTTGTTGCCCTGATAAAGTAATAGTATTTCTGTAGCGGTTTTGTTAAGTATTTGGGTACGTAGCGTAGGCTAGCACACCCAGGCGGACCATTGAAGACTAACAAGGCCGCTGCTTTGGCGAAATTCCTCGAAAGAAAACTTCAAGATCCTAATGGATTAGCTTCAATAAACCCCCAGCTGGTCGAATTGGCCGTCAAAAACGCCAAACACACAGTCCATTCAAGTAAATATTCACTTTTACCTTCGCTTATTGTCGTTTCTACTTTTAATTTCACTTTATTTTTTCTCTCTTGCATGTATGCCCTATTCCCATCATAAATGTCAATGTTTTTAGTTCAATTTTGTAATTTTTAAAATTTTGTGATGGACTGTGTTCAATTGCCAATCATTGGAAAGAAATTATGTGTTTGGGAGCATTGATCAATTGGAATTCAAGAAACTGTAACTTAGTTTAAGCCGTTAAGATGGGTTCTCGCCAATTTTTATTTTGAAGCCTGGATACCATGGGGCCGATTGCAGTGTCTTACTATTCTTTTACCAGGCGCAATTTACTTGTAGTTAGGGTATAGCTGATAGGTGAAAAGTAGATGTGAGTTGAGGTGATTTGATTGTGGGAATTGTGGAGTAAGGCTGTAAGTCCTGAGACATGGGGGATGGGGTTTGTTTGATACAGTCCGAGGATGGAATGGTTAATTAATTCCAGCCATAACTCTTGAATATAGCGTTGTTGGATAAAAATTTCATCGGTTTAAGTATTTTTCTTTTACATCACAAGAAGGGAATCCCGATATGGCTTTTGGTTACCAGGGCAAGGGAACTTAATATTCTAGTTTCTTCACTTTGGTTGCCACAAAGAGCGTGTTCCAAGTGCATGTCTTCTGCTTGCTTTATTGAGTTCAAAATGCATCATGTTTCACCAAAATATTGTTAGCACTAGTGGGTGAATATTCAGTTTTGCTAAAGAGGCCAACTTTTTGAAGCCAGACAGACTTCTATTGTTATCATTTTTAACGCTGGAGTCTTTGAACTCACTGTTCAGGTGGGATTTCAAATTCAGGAAGAACGGTTCAGCATGTGAATTCATTTGGCGACTCTGAGGTGCTTTATTTTTGCATTACATCAATTAGTTCCTAAACAACTTAAACTTTCTTTTTGATTTTGAATGTTTTTGTCTGCTATGCATATTTTTGTGAACTTCAGTATTCTTTTGAAGAAGAGAAAGTAAAGAATTCCGAGTCAAAGAAACAAAAGAAGAGAATGAAGAAGGATAAGAAGAAGAAGAAGAAAAAGAAACAGAAGGTGCTTTGACATTTGATGGTTACAGTTCTTGCCTCTTTATCTTATTCTCTGATTTTTGCTCAGTCTGAAGTTTTTTCTGTGACAGATGTCGGAGGATTGTTAACACAACGCTGAGAAGACGTGAAAAGTAGTTGAAATTATGTTCTAGATGGGCCTGATGATGGAAAATGTTTTGCATCTAAAAGATTGCAATACACAATTGTTCGTCTACNACAATCCGAGGATGGAATGGTTAATTAATTCCAGCCATAACTCTTGAATATAGCGTTGTTGGATAAAAATTTCATCGGTTTAAGTATTTTTCTTTTACATCACAAGAAGGGAATCCCGATATGGCTTTTGGTTACCAGGGCAAGGGAACTTAATATTCTAGTTTCTTCACTTTGGTTGCCACAAAGAGCGTGTTCCAAGTGCATGTCTTCTGCTTGCTTTATTGAGTTCAAAATGCATCATGTTTCACCAAAATATTGTTAGCACTAGTGGGTGAATATTCAGTTTTGCTAAAGAGGCCAACTTTTTGAAGCCAGACAGACTTCTATTGTTATCATTTTTAACGCTGGAGTCTTTGAACTCACTGTTCAGGTGGGATTTCAAATTCAGGAAGAACGGTTCAGCATGTGAATTCATTTGGCGACTCTGAGGTGCTTTATTTTTGCATTACATCAATTAGTTCCTAAACAACTTAAACTTTCTTTTTGATTTTGAATGTTTTTGCCTGCTATGCATATTTTTGTGAACTTCAGTATTCTTTTGAAGAAGAGAAAGTAAAGAATTCCGAGTCAAAGAAACAAAAGAAGAGAATGAAGAAGGATAAGAAGAAGAAGAAGAAAAAGAAACAAAAGGTGCTTTGACATTTGATGGTTACAGTTCTTGCCTCTTTATTTTATTCTCTGATTTTTGCTCAGTCTGAAGTTTTTTCTGTGACAGATGTCGGAGGATTGTTAACACAACGCTGAGAAGGCGTGAAAAGTAGTTGAAATTATGTTCTAGATGGGCCTGATGATGGAAAATGTTTTGCATCTAAAGGATTGCAATACACAAATGTTCGTCTACTTTTTTTTTTTTTAAATCTCGAATTAGGTTATTGCCAACCAAACTAGGCTCCTTCATTGTCATTCGTTAGTTGAAGGGCACTATACTTTCTTTTGGTGCAACAGATTTCTAGACAAGTTTCACTACTCAATTTCTGTTGTTTCTGTAATGTTATAACTGCTAGGATTTTATTTGTTTTTGTTGCTAGTTGTCAACTGTTAGATGTTATCAATCAATCCATTCTTGTTATTTGTTTAAGCATGCCATGGTGGGATTTTTGTTGGGTATGTTGGTCATAATTTCTTCTAGACAGTTCACCATATTTTGCTTACTAATCGGAATTTCCTGATTTATTACCACAATAAATAGTCTCTGAATCCCAAAGAAGTTACTATGAAAGGGGAAAAGTGTAAGTATTTTTGAGCTAGAACTCAGGTTTGGTGAAGACAGTGAACCGTTCCAGGTAACTTCTAGCTGAATCTACATCCCTGTTCAAAAAATTTTCGCTTGAATAACTGAATCAATCACCCAGGAGAGTTGGTTCGTCCCTCTTCAAATTCTCATGGAAAACAGGTACAAACACTCGAGCAGGTCAAGTACTCATCAGCGTAAACTATATGTTGTAAGTTAAGTTTGAGAATCGAACTCTCTAAAACAAGTATAAGGTTATATCTCATTAATGTGAGAATGTGTTCCTGTCAAGTGTTAAATCTGTTGAGCTTGCAGACTCGGACAAAACGAGTGCAAGACTTCATGATACTGCTTCCGAATAGGGAAGCTGAAACAACTCTCAGGTTCACTCTACATTGCAGATTTACAAAGGTGTGAGGGTGGTTCTAGGTAGGTATAAGTGCCAGTATTTGGTTCTTGATGATTCCAATGCACTTCTGTATCTCTGTATAGACTGGAAGGTTCTTTGAGGAGTAAGGATGCAAACTTGTAACGGCAGAATTCAGTATCTGGGCAACATCAGCTGGTGGAAACTGTCGTTCTGAACACTTCTGCAATTTTTTCGGAAAAAATTACACTGAAAAAAAGAGGCAAAAATTTATTGTAATAGGGATCTACTGTCATGTATCAAAAAGATAAAAGAATAAACGGGAGGAGAAGAAGAAGAAGCATTTTTTACAACATGGAAATGAAAGAAAAAAGCATTTCTTACACCACTCTATACCCCTCCCTCCCCCGCCCAAAAAAAAAAACTAAAGTAATATATATATATATAGAGAGAGAGAGAGATGCATCCAAGAATTTACCTGAATCATGAACAAAGTAGCTACACATTTGAGATATAAGTTCTGAAGGGATTTGTTGTCCATATGACACAGATTCCTTCTCCAACTTAGGATTAGATGACTGCAATGAATTCAATGGGATGGAAATCGACTAATCATGAGAAGCCAAACCAACATGCACCGAGTCTGTGGCCAGCATGCAAAAATCATCCAATGGAAGTAGTCGATCATTCACATGATCTATAGCTGTCTCCATCTTCTCCACACCCTTCAGAGATGACATTCCCTGCAACAAGGAAGCACAAATAGGTTCCAATAAATATCATTGCACCAATGTCTGAGATTAAAGTTCAAGTGGTTAACATCATGAGTTATTTACTCACTAGTCCACCTACATTGGAATAACCCATTTACAGCCACATAATTTAAGGAATTGGGGGACAACTTTTTCTTTCTCTAGGTACTAAGGTGGTATGACTAATTTTGTAGTTCAAATCACCAACTTTCACAGCAGGTTATCTGATCAGCCACAGCACATGACCACAGCATAGTTTCTCTGTGTTAATCCAGACTTAACATCCAATTCTAATTGCCAAACTGCTTTATAATAAGGTGGGAATGCAAATACCCCAGTTTTATTTAGATAATATCCAGGCAATAAATTGTTATCGCAGGTCTTATCAAGTGCCCAACCTAATTAAATGGAATTTAGGCTTGTTGAGTCAACTCATAGGTCAAAAATTTCTTTAATACCTGCATAACTGCATCCACCATTGTTTGGGCTTTTGTTCTTGAGCTTTCAACAACTTCATTAACAGAAGATCCGGATGCTTGAGTGTGACTTGTAGAATGATCTAAGGAGCTCAAAAGGCCTCCGTGATCACCTAAATTTGCCATGGGCCTCGGCCTCGCTTGTGGAAAGTTTCCCTGATATGAGTTGCGCTGCCTCAAGCAATACAAAGCAGAAGAAACCTGCAAATGAAATCNAAGGAGCTCAAAAGGCCTCCGTGATCACCTAAATTTGCCATGGGCCTCGGCCTCGCTAGTGGAAAGTTTCCCTGATATGAGTTGCGCTGCCTCAAGCAATACAAAGCAGAAGAAACCTGCAAATGAAATCGATAAACAATTGCGAAGTGGTTGGAGAAAATATTGGAGATTGAAGGACAAGGGGTAGAACTAAATGATAATTCCTGCAAACACATGCCTGCTCATTGGCTGCATTTAACTGCACGAGTACAGCAGAATATTGCTTCTTGAAAGGCTCTGAATTACTGAGAGAGCAATCACCATCCTTGTCACTTTCTAAAACATCATCATTAATGTGCTTCAACTCAATAACCGCTGCTTCCTACAATTCCCAACATGGCATCAGATCACTGGTAAGCGTCCAGTTTAATATGAGACCCAAGTGTTCCTATGTGCAAATTCTAGTTCATACATTCACACATTCTGATGAGAAAACAAGTTCATATACTATACCACTAGAAGTCACTGCAACAAAGGTAGAACGTTTAAACCCCCACAAAAAACTCCAATAGCACAATGTAGTAATCAGTGAAAATAACGAGGAAACAACTTAGCAGCACTGGTAGTGGATAGAAAAGGTATCAATAACCAGAAACAACCAAAAGAAGAGGTTAAGGTGAAGAAAGTAATAAAGGAAAAAAGCAACAGCAGCGTAAAATAGTGCATAACACCATAGGGCATCAATCGGAGGAAAACATTGGAAACAGACAACGGAACTATGTGAAAGAAATTACCACCCAATCATTCTGAAGGACCGTCCATTTGAAATTTTCAATTATTCTTTAAGATAGTCCATGCCAGATCATTTTACTTGAAATGTAATTCTACTTCGATAGAAAAATAGAAGGGTATGAAAAGAGATTTGAGTCAGACTTTCTGCTTTCAATCAATTGTACATACAAAATCAATATGCAAGGGCTACAACCTTTTTGTTTAGAGGACGAGTCAATTCAGTAAGAGCTTGCACATCAGCTTCTTTCGCCTGGACCTCTGCCAGTGTATGGTGCTGAGAATGTAGTGTCTGCTGATTTATGGCAGTTTTCCTCAGTCCAGTATTAGCTTGTGAATTAGCATCCACTGAAGCCACCTGGAAAAAGGATGTGGGTGGAGATAAATAAGATGGCCAGTTTAATAGAAGGCATTGCCTTGCATTTTTCGTCTTTTCTCTGCAACTTGTAGAAAAATGGTCCAAATGCCCTCCTAAACAGATGGGATAATGCTTTATATGATAGAACGCAAGTCTTAAATGTGTTCTCTCAATTAGGAATGCACTAAATTTTCTGGCCATATAGATTACTCCAGATACAGAGTGTGCAAAAACAAAAATATTTGGAAGCAGTAATTTCCTTCTGAGAAATTTGTTGCCAGTTTTGCACTCAGTACGAGGAGTCTCACACAGCAACCTCAACAGACAGAAATGCGATATATCATATTATCACACAAATATGGACACATTAATAAGTCACGAGATGGGTGTCAGAATAGGCAAAGAAAGACACAAAGTAAATCTTTACTATCGTGATTTAACAGACGAATAAATGCCCCCACAGTTCCCAGTTTAAAATTTCCTTTTAGAAATATGCCTTATACAGTGCAAGTCCGCCCTAACCTCAATTAACTAAGTTTGATATGTATACAACAGATATTAGAAGTCAGGGAGACCTTTTCCTTAACACCCCCACCCCTTCCAAAAAGAAACCAAAATATAGGTATTAATATGTGTGTAAAGAAAGATTTGCTGACCTTTGTTTGCTTCAGTAAATTATCCATGGGATAACTTGACAGAGACTCATGAGAAGGACCACGAACGTTCTCGAGGGTATCACCAGGAGAAAATTTTATGTACCCTTCAAGCCTCTGATCTTTTTCCCTGCCATTTATTTTGAGCTGAGTGAAGTTCTCGAATAACTTATTGACAGCACTTGAGGACCTTGCTACTGATGCGGGTTTATTCTCTAAGCGTCTTAAGGGCATGCAATCAACATCCTGCATAAATTAAAGAATTTCACCATGCCAAAAAAGGGAAACAAGCAAGCAAAAAAGAAAAATGAGGAGGGGAAAAAATTCTTGTTTTTGCTGGGCCTGTTACGTTCCACTTTCTCAGAAAAATATAGACAATTGAATCCAAAGGTTACATTCTGCTGGTTTATATTCATATATATCTTTCGAGCATTAGTAATCAAAACTAGATATCATAACTAATAAAAATACCATGACAAATTCGACCCCTAGCTCAGGTGGTCGAACTGAACCCGGCACATGGAACGATCAACAGTTAGTACACTTCCATCATAAATCTCTCTTGTTCTTGGATGAATAGCTATAACACGTTGTCCAACTGACAAAGGCCTTGCCAGATCTGTTGGCAATCCTTCCCTGATACCAGAATGAAGTTCAGCATAATGTGTTCTAACAGAATTGCGGTATTGATTAAGCTTCTCTTTTTCTTCCTTCAAAAATTGTTCAGAAAACCTCCGTGGTTTACCAAGAGAACTGCATCAACAAAGGAGAGCAATATAAAGACTTCTGAAACATACAATCTATCAATCTTCAGGTGCATTGTTAGCCTAGCAAAGTACAAATTTCTGACATGAGCAGGGGAAGGCAAATACCTTCTTATGACACTCCATTCAACACGAGTTAATCTTGGAACATGACCCAATCCAACATGATACAAGTACTCCACAAACTTCTTTTTAGCAAACCAAGGATAATCAATGGCACTGTAGAACCACTCAAATGCACACCATCTCCGAACTCGATGATTTGAAAGGCAACTGGAAAAACTTTCCTGCATTTTAAGTACAAAAGAAAATATGTCAAAGCTAGAGAATACCATGGTCCATCAAAATCTAGAAACTGACAAAGACTAAACCTTGAGATTAAGTGCTTTGTCTTGGAGTGACGGAACGGGTCCATTAGGTTGGTCCTTCATAATGTTATGAGTGAACTTCAACTCTTTCAGTATCTTTGGTTTCTTTAAGTGCAAGTTAACCTGATTCGCCACAGGAACATGTACAGTTGACAGAGCTGAATCACTTCTTTCCATTCTTGGATCAGTACTTGAAGAATGTTCGGGATGTTTGACCAATTTTCGTGAAGCACTTTAAGGAGATCGTCTACCCTTAGTCACTGACTTCTTCCCAGCATCTCTAATCTACAATAAATAGCCACATCATATTAAATTCATTAATTCCTGAACGGAAGACAGAAGTTACTCCAGGTCCTCACATCAGGAATAAAAGAAAAAAACAGAAAATAACAAATTTATAAGACAATAACACAGGACAGATTTAAGCAAAAAAAATAGCAAGCATTAAAAGCAAGCAACAAAAGGAACCTACTTGAATTCAATGCTAATTATGAGTCATATGACTATTATCAATATACACTAAATGAAACTTAAAATACCACAAAATAAACAACTAGGAAAAAGAGGACAGATATTAGTATCCACAGGATAAGGATCCCACTTGAATCCAGCGCTAGCATAATTCGAAACAACCAATAATTTAGTTATATCATGTTTAAAGATAATTGCAACTGTCAACCAGATGAAGTAAGTTGGCCAAAATAAAGTGTGAAAAAACCCATAAGGCAGTTCGAGTTGCAGAAGCTGCCAACCACACAAGGAAACCTAGATCGGTTTTCGCTGCCCAACTTGAGTCCCAATTGGTAAAACCAAGTTGGTTAGTCTGCATAGGGAGGGTTAGTAGAACTTCCTTTGTCGTATATTTATCATGAAGTCGGTAAATTAAATAAATATTGACCTTCTTTAATGTGACATGAGATTAATGGAGGGCAACTCACAGCTCAATCAAAAAATTCAACAGAAAATATAAAATAGGGCATCATACATTTATATACACCCAAGGGTTATAACTTATAACAGTTATATAGAAACTGGAAAACACCAGAAACCATCAGTCTCAAGGCCTTCAGTAGAATATTTTTTAGTAATTTTGAAACGGATGTAAATGAACCTGCACATGCATATGTACAGATGGAATGAAATGTGTAATTGTGCATTCTAGCTCAAAGCTTTGTTAAGCAGAGGTGCCTGAGTTTTAACCAAACCCAATCTCACTATGTGTCAAAAGTTCCTAGAAGCCAAGAACAAACGAAGTGTAAGAGATTTAAACAATCTTGCCTATTCCACAAGTTAGGAACAGGTCCAAACAGCCCAAGCAACCACCTAACAAGACACTACAATATGAAGGCACCAAAAAGCACCTAGGGTGACATAGTGAGAAAACTAGATCCAAACCAACGGTGGCATCATTAATACATTTCCAGCTTCACAGATATAACAACCTTTAAAAAGGAGCAACAATGGAAATCTATATTGCAGCTCTGATAATTTGTTTAATGTTTTGAGAATAACTCAACCACATAGTTAAATTTGATAGTAAATAGATTATGTCAACAAAGAAAGAAAGGAAAAGGCAATATAACAAAAATTCACAGCCTCTTGGTGCATCAACAAATGAGCATTGGAATCCAAACTTCAAATTTTTAGACAGTCTAGAACATATTGTGGCCATATAAGCAGTAGGATGTGAGAGGCTCCTATGTGCTCAGACCAAAAACAATTGAGCCACATAAAACATTCAAACGTAAATCTTTAATAAAATGGTTAGAACACAGGAAGCGAATCTACCTCCGCCTCCTGAGAGCCACTCAAACGGGTATCACTACGAGCTTCAGTTCTAGCAGTCTGCCAACAAAATGCTTTAGCATAAGTTCATCATGCGACAAATCAGAACAAAGCCCCACTGATATGAATAACAGGGATATACAAAGATAAAAATTCAAATGAAGTCATATCATGTTTTACTTTAGATGCCAAAATCTTCTGCTTTTCACTAAACAATTTTGTAACAGAATGATGTGGTTCCTCCTTTGCTTCAGGAATAGCACCAACAACGAGTGCTGAAACTTCTCCAGGTTTTGATTTTTGAGAGGTAGCAACTTCAAATCTGGATATTGATCGATCCCTTTCACTTTAACCCCTGAGGATTTACATTTGTCCCTTTGATGGATTGCTGGCATAGATTCCGCAACAAGGTCATCATTTTCTCTTTGGACCAGCACTGATGGCTCTAACACACAGGTAACAAAATATAAGAAAGATGTTAAATTTTATCATTGACTTGCAAATAAATATACAAAATATTCAAGTACTGACTAAAGAATCCAATAAGTGCAGAGAGCAAAAGAACCGTATACAGAATAAGACATTCTTAAACTTCTCTCAGTACTTGACCAACAAATTGCTATCAAGCAATTACTGTAAGCAGAGGGAGAACATGTAAACAAATGCCAAACTCCACAAATAGAGAATTGATGTTAAAAAAGATAAAAAAAGGAAAATATAAAAATTAACAAGAGAATTTAAAATGGAAAACATAAACACAATCTCAGAGTTTAACTTTCTCAATGGAAGAACTGAATATAATAAACTTAAGTGATGTTGCATCATTATTAGCTATCTCAAAATTTGGACAATGACGCTTTCCTGGTTTATGGTTAACCAAGTAAAAATACACTTTTATTGTTTGCAAATCAGAATTGAAAATATGGAGAAGCCATATGGCAAGAAAATAGAATGATAGATTAAGTAACATTGTACGTGATAAATAATTTCGGGTCACAATTTATGTTTGTTGTTTCATGCTCTCTACATCAATTGTGGCAAAATATGATCAAGCAAATTAGCCAGCACAAGTAACTTGTGGCAACTTCTACCAAGAAAATAAAAAAATGGTGAGGAAGAAGGGGGTGGGGTGGAAGAGAAGTAGAGCCATTTAATTAGGTTCAAAGTAAAAAATAGCTAACATAGAGACTGCATAATATAGGTTTTCGTCTTTTGTTTTTGAGTTGAAAACGCAATCAACATCCTCGAAATGATTGTAGTTCTTACATGCTGTTTAAATAGGGATATCACCATAAAAGTTTGTCAGTAAAAATAAAAAACAGTTGACTAAACTCATAACTTTATATAGTTTCAGAATTTTAGCCAAGGCACTTGTCAATTTTTTTTAACACAACTAGTATAACAAGAGCTCTGAACCATACTCACCCTACCTCTGAAATTTAGAAAAGGAATTTCAGATATCATGAAAATCATCCCAGTTTTAACCGGAAATATGTTGCATTAGTGGTTAATCATATCGACTGGACATCAAAATTTATCAACAATGCCATTGAACCTTTCAAAAATATTCAATTAATAGCCCAAACAGAAGAACATTGCTAATTATCTTAAATAACCTAAAACCTAGTGATTTTATTATCCCCTAATGATCATCAGTTGCTTCAATTCCTAAGTCCTAGGTTTGTAGAATAATAAGGGCAGCCTCGTGACTTCCACCATGCAGAGATAAATAGATGGATGAAGAGGGGATGTGTGTGTAAGAGAGAGAGAGAGAGAGAGCAATGATGGATTTTGACTATTCACGAAGTCAATGACCCTTCACTAAAAGGTCTCAGAAAGTTCCCAGAAAAAAAAATGCAAAAAGAATAAGAAGCAGAAAACCTCAGAAGGAAAAGAGCTAAAACGCCCACATAATAGCATTCTCCTCATGCAAGAGACACTAATCAAATATTCCTAAAGTTGTCGTCGATTTCTTAAAAATAAAATCAATATAAGGAGTTGTTTTGTCAAAAAGACAACAAAAAGTATAAATATGGAGGCACTTGATAACCGATAAGAAGCATAAAGTAACCAAACACTGACAGAGAATGGAAAACAGCCTGATGGGAGACAGCAACGCAACTTGTCGGAAAACCAAACATGGAATGTATTCTTACTTGCCCTGAATTTCAATATTGCATGACAACATACCCTCCACCCCCC